TCCCCCCTCGAGGCGCACGACCCCGGGCCCGGGGGAGCCGGTCTAAGCCAAGCGGCAGCTTGAGTGGGGAGTGCGAGACGACGTCCACGATGCCGGAGACGAGGAAGAAGAGGTACACGGTGGTGTAGTGCCAGGGGGTGAGGTCTGCCCAGCTGTGCGTCTCGGTGCTGTACAGCTGCAGGTGGGGCCCAGTGGGAACAAACTGCTCCACCAATATCCCTGGGCAGAGAGAGGAAAGGTCACGCTTATTTTACACGGGGGAAAAGACAAGCTTGCAGGAAACCTTCCTCTGCAACGGTGAAGCCCTGGCTCTTCGGGGGGCGAGTGCGTAGATACCATCATCATCATCTCTTACCTGCTAAAGCAAAGAAAGCTTTGACTGCCCCTTCGAAGATTTCCACGCGCTGGATCCCATAGCTCGGGTGGCTCTCGGCACCGCCTTTCCTCCTGAGATACTTCAGGGGGTACCGCACGGACCACCAGAGACCAAAAATGAAGAAGAAGGTGCCCCGGAGGGCGCTGCCGAGGAAACTGGTCGGCATCGGGCTCGCTCGACAGACCTGCAAGTACAAAATGTGTCTGGGCAGCTGCGTCCTGACAGAGTGCCCAGGAAAGCCCAACAGCTACGTGCTATTAGAATAGGAACCGCAGCAAAGGTTTTTGCTAATAAAAAGCATCGTGATAATTATTTCCTCGGAACATAAACTCCCTCCCAACTAGATAATAAGCAGGGTGTGAACCCAGCTGGTGTGTTCAGCAGCTCAGCCAGCCAAGGCTTCACTGGGCCTTAGTGGGCTGGCAACAAGAGGAGGATGAGGCAACCCAGGAACCATTACCATTTCCAAAAGGAGCCTCATGCATATTCCACCCAACCTCCATGTCGCTCTCGGGGCGGGGGTTTGACACAAAGGAAAGAGATTTCATCTTCGGTAGGAAGAGCTCCAAGAGTAAAGGCGTGAAAATCGCCTTTGTGAGGAGCTGGACCAATGCCACCGAGTACCAGTGAGGATGGAGATGAGCAGAAGTATGGCAGCAAGAGGCTTATGTGAGCAAAAGTATATCCTGCAATGTATTCAGACCCATTTTTGGAAGAAAACCACCCAGAGAAGCAAGCACAAAAGAGAATAAGTAATGATCTGAACGCTCATAGCGGCAGGCTTTTGTTGTTACCTTGGGACGGTCGAGTTTCCCCCAGCAAGACCTCTCTCTTTGCTCTCCGTAGGCATCGACCACCTAAGTGAATCTCCCTCCCTCCCTCCCCACGGGCTTTCTGGTCCTTCCCTACAGCATGGATGTGCGCGGAAGAAGGCGTTACTCACCCTGAAGCCGCCGCGCCGACCTGCCCTTGCATCACAAATCGCATCCTCGCCGCGTTTATAAATACCAAAGCAAATTGCTGAGGCTGGATGAACAACTCCAGCACGTTCTCCGAGTCCTCCCACACTAGAAAGTAATTAGGCACTGCGAAATAAGGGTAGGATGGGGTGCAGCAAGTGCCTTAGGTGCCTCTGCGAGGCATCCCCGGCCGGGTGTTGGCAGCAGAGCTGGAGTCGAAGCGGCTCAGCCCCCGGGTGGATGCAGAGACTGTCGTCATCCTTTACGTCTCCGTGACACGGGTGACCCGGAGAAGGCTCGGAGCTGTTTACACCATGTGAAGGTTTCCTTTCAGGAGGGGAAGCTACTCAACAGCCTTTCAGGGAGAAACGCCCCATCCCAGGAGCGGGTTTGGGGATTGGCGTTGGCTCTCTGCTCTACTTCGGATGCCTGCGTTAGGCGAGACGGCTCGTGCCCCGTGTCTTTGCTGATTATAGCCTGGACGCCCAGTCCAGGGCACGTAGCTTCCTCACACAGACTAAGAATAAAGCGCATTGAAGCGGCGCACAATTGCGCGATACATAACCAAATTCTACCGTTGTCCTACAGGGACTGGGACCACAAGGGCAGCAGCCTGAAGCCAGACCCGGGAGCGCACCCTGATCGAGACATAGAGCAGGAGCGTTCATCTGACATGATTAATTGGAGGAGGGCAGAGACATCCCGGTGCCCAAGCATCGGAAACAACAAGCGACACGTCCCACCTGCAGAAGCTTGGATGTAGCCTTCAAAACAGCCACCCCACCAAACGACCAACCACCTTCTTTCATAAAACAGCCCCTATTTCGCAGAGAAACCAGACACGTTTCCAAGCAACGGGCTGCTTGTGCAGCTGATGTATTTGAGGCACAGAAAAACAACCCACCCTCCATCCCCAGAGCCCTCCGAAGAACCCACCGAGCCCAAACCTGACGCTTCTCGCCCGCCGGCTTCCCCCAGCCCCGGCGTTTGTGTCCACGCTCGCATAAAAGCTGATTAAACTCCAAGTGAGCCACAGCAGGGGAAGAGATCACCGGCTGAGGAGAGGCACTCGGGCTATTCATTTTCCCCGCGAGCTAGTTTGTCTGTCAGAGGACTGGAAATAGGGCTGCAGTCAGAAGTTATTACCTGAGCTGCCCTTCTCTCTCCACAGCTTCCAGCCTGCGATGCTTTGGCTTTAATAGCCATACGGGAGCTGCCTGCTCTCCTTATGCTGACTGCTCGCAGCCTCCCCGGCTGCTCGGCACGGGAAGGATGGCATTTCTGCCTCTGTGAACGTTTAGAGGGTCTTCTCTTGGCGGACCCTCCTCAATCTCTCTCGTGCCGACAGCCCTCACCCAAACGAAGAGGCACGAGCTCCCCTATCCTGCAAACCCCTCGCTGGAACGCACCTCCAAAACCTGATAACCCCTCGAAAAAGAGCTAAAGGCAGAGAAACCCAAGCGTTGCCCACCACTACTAGAAGTCAGTCTCCATCAGGATTGCTTCCACCATCACACTAAACCTTTGCCTTGCAGAGGTGGACTCTCCTCACGTCCCTCCTTCCCCAACCTGTCGCAGCCACGTCCGTCCTGGCTGCTCACCAACGGGTGGAAGAGTTTACCTGCAGCTCCTGCCCGTCCTTCTCCTTCTCCAGACGTGGCAGCAAGGAGGGGTTATTACTCGGAAGAGGCAGATAAAGGCAGAAGCCACCAAGGGGAGGTGGCCCTCAGACAGGATGTTTAGAGCCCAGCATCCTACGGGCCGGTTCAAAGCGCGCTGAGTCAACCGCCTTTCACAACCCCGGGACACCTCCTGTCTGTTATTAAAAAATAAATAAAGAATAAAAGCCACACACACACAAAAAAGATCAGGATGAGCAGCCAAGTCTCGTTCCCACGGCAACTGCGCCGTGTTATTCTGGTTATTCAGTGTTATTTTGTGTTTTCCAGTGATTCTGGTGGGTTTTTTGGGGAAGGAGCCAAGAAGGGACAAGGCTCTGAAGGGGGCTGCCAGGTAACACAATAACCTTTTTTAGGGGGGTGTCAGGCCTTACAAAAAGCAGAGCTTTGGGGCCAGGAGCTTGCAAACCACCTCAGAACCCTTGTAAGTTCCCAGTCCACAGCAGCCAAGAGGAAGGGGACCCCAAAAGACGGGTGGGTAGGAGGCAGCAGCCCGTTCCCGCTCCTTTTTTCCTATCCAATACTTGCACCCACCAGCTCCTGCCGACCCGCCGCACATCGCGTGGCCGAGGGCTGCTGAGACGAGTGACGCGAGTGCCTCAGGGCAAATAAACACCACGGGGCCACCCCAGCATCCCTGTGTCCCTCCGAAGCACCCGGCCGCCACAGGCACTAACAACCAGTCCCAAGCCGGTTTTTCTCCAGGTTGCAACCGCGTAACACCTCGTGCAACCAGCAAAAACCAGGATAAGCCATGCCCAACCCGTCCGAGAGTCGCACACGTGAGCCAGTGCCCCAGAGAAGACCCAAGGCTGGAGGAGCACGGAAGCAAAGCAGCCCCAGGGTGATGGGCTGTCCTCCAGCCCAGCCGTAAAAGCCACCAAGCCGTAGCCAGGAGCTCTTTTCTACCCATTGTCTCTGTGTCAGCGGGAGCAAGTAGGAGGAAGGAAGGAAAAGAAGAAGCTGGCACACAGCTTCGAACACCCATTGCTGCTCAGGGAGCAAAACGCGTTGCAGAGGGTTTGAGAAAATACGCAAAAGCATCATGAAATGTCAAGAAAACCCACAGGGGAGCTTCCATAAACACACGTAGCTTCACCCAAGCTTTAAGCTCAGGCATAGAGAGAAATTCAGCCCCCGCAAGAGCTCTGCAGCCCAGACCTACCCCCGAAAAACAACACAGCGAGAAAAACAAACCTTTTCTTCCTGCAAAAAGAGCGGCAGCACCACTAGGGACCTCTTTGCAGCTTGGTTAGGCTTTTCTGCAACCACCCAGCTCAACAGAGCCTCACCCCAAAGGGCAGCTTAGCACAAAGCTGGATGAGCAGAGAAAGTGGCAAAGTGCAAGCTGGGAGGGCAGCAGCTGGAGATGGGGGAAGGAAATGAGAACCAGCTGAAAAGCATCTGCTCGGAGGCTGAGGGTGGTGCCTTTTCCCAGGTGGTTTCAAGGGCCGGCAAAGAGCAAAGCCCACGTTCAAAGGTTTTGATGCAGAAATACCTGCCAGTCAAACAGTGGGGGAAAAAAAAAGTTATAGGGGTGTGAAACGGTCGAGGAAATCTCAGAATTTCATCCCCGTGACACAAATGAGACTGAAACCGTGACACGCGGTTGGGAACATCAACCCAACAAGGGGACACCCACAAAAAGGCTGGAAACCCCTCCCCAAACCACAGGGTGGGTCGCTCACACACCCCATGTGCTAAAATCACCGCAGATGCAGATTCCACTCTGTTTTTTTCCCGTTTTTCTCCTTTTTTTTCTCAGCCTTGGCACTAACGAAAGAAAAAAAAGAAGTGATAATGTTTGCCTGCTTCCTGGGGGTGGTGGGAGGCACAATCTAATTAAAGGTTTGCCCTGCAGATGGATGGGTGTTGGGGAAGTGCAAAGTCTCACGTTATTATTATTATTATTATCATGACGAATGGTCACAGTAGCTTTCATAAACAGGCACCAGAGGAGGTGGTATAAGCACAGGCAGGGCTTGTTCTGCTGCCCACGCCGGCGTTTCAGCCTCACATAAAGGTGGCTGGGGAAGGGTGGCAGAGGCAGATCCTATCTCTGCCCGAGTTACACAAGAGAAAAACCACCCTGGAGACATGGCCCAGGGCGTCACGGTCCTTTTAATGCCTTCGAATATCCCCCTGAACCGAGCCGGTGGGTCCAGTACAGAGACCCTGGTTGATAACTCAGTTTATATGGTGAAAAATACGTCCCAGGACAACTGGTTGATACTAAGGTGGCGTTAAAAGCAATATTTCCTTTTGGGCTGTCTGTCACATCAGAAATTTCACTTTATCGTAAGGTGTCTCTGGATCACTCACCCAGCAACCTCCATGCCCTTATTTGGGCATCTAAGCTATATACAAACACTTTTTTTTTTTTAAGATACTACAAAAATCGTTAATTCCCAGCCAGTAAACGAGCACTGCCTGCATTTTTTCTTTTTTTTTTTTTTACTTAATCACAGGCTCTATCTCTCCCTCCTTCTCTGACCTTCATACCTGGGCAAAGAATGTGCTTGGGAGTT